ATGCTAAAGGAGGCTGCTGTACTCTACCTTTCAATTCAGTCTGAAGAAAATGGTGCTGCGAGTCCAACAGGAGACAGAGGCAAAACCTGAGGCTCTCCTTCTCTCTCCACAACACATTCCATCAACAAAAACAACCAGTCTCCCATGGCACAAAAAATGTAACTAGGAAATTTTGTGTTTTGCTTATCATATTGTACATAGCTTTCATAGGTGTTGCTTGCATGGCTTCTACTTGTTTTGAATAAGATAGGCAGCAGGTTTTCCATCCACATGGTAAAAAGCTAATTGTAGAAAAGGAACGGTATTTCCAAAGAACCGTGGAAAGATCATTAATGCTGAATCCTTATCAGAGCTTCCCCAGGACTCGTGTTAATGAGATCCGTAAGCAGGTGTAAATAACCTCTCTCATCTATAAAATGAGGAAACTATGTGATGCTGCCTGGGCTTAGGCAACATTTGAACAGCAGGCCGAGTATGATTGATAGCAAACAGATCTAACTTTAATGCTTTCGGAAGCTGAATGTCTGTGTGCAACTCACAGCTTGGACAGCTCATCAGGGTCATCTAAAAATTTCATCTGCTAAGACATTCTGTAAACTGTTAGACGCAGCTATGTCGCAGATGGCATTGCATGCGCTCCACACCAGATTTTGTAGAGGTGTCAACTGCCTTTTAGTCAAATACAGTACAGACATTTTACTGCTTTGTGTTAGTAGGTCCTTGTGAAGATGACTTAGGTTGGCATTTACTTGTGGGATCGGTTTTCTGATGACTAACTAGATGAAATTTTAGCTGCTCTGCCAGGCTATGTTGCTAGAAGGGTGTTCAGTACCCCCCTCTACCTCCACAGAGCAGAGGAGAGTGGTTTCCCATAACTATTCAAACTTTAAATTCTAATTAATAGCTTAATATTATTTTCTCCCTCCTCCCTCATTTTTTCACATGGCAGATACTACCTGACAACTGTTGCCGTCTTCTCCAGGGGTTCATATTTTCCATTCAACTTGGACTGCATGACAGTGTGACTCCCCCTCCTACTCTCTCTTCTTCTGCTCTTTACTTCCAAATTAAGGCAAAATACGCATGCCTTGTTTAACCAATCCTATTTAAAGTTATTTGTTCTTAAGCTGTCACCTAGAAAATTAATTTAGCTGGCCTAAGAGTGTGAATTTATGACTTCGGTCATGAAGCTTAAGAAGGAACAGCAGCGGGGAGGACAGTTCTCATCTCTCTTTTCCTGGGCATGCTCAACCAACTGTAGAATCGAGCATCCCTAATATTAAGCACTCTGCTCTTGATAAGCACTTAACACATTTCGTCTTAAATGAAGTATCAAAGATGACTTCACAACATGTTGATTCTCTGTGCTTGTGAAAAAGGCCTTTGGGTGGATTACAAAAACGTAATACAAACATATGACAATATATTTTAGTACATAAAACAGAGAATGTTGCTAAACGCTGTAACATGTTGTTAGCATTTTTAAACTTGGTAAGAAGAAGAAGAGCTGTTCACATCCAGAATCATCCTTTTAAATTTGACCAGGCTCAGTATTTGGCATCTCACCAGTAGCTTCTAAGCCTGCATTTACAAGATACCAAACTAAATTATAAAATAGACTTATTCTAAAAGAAACAACTGTAAATTATCAGTTGACCTCCAGAATGGACCTATGATCTTGATTTAAGCTCTGAATAAGTATCTACGTCACAACAGACACCACGACTTCATACTCTGTTTTGACAGCATTACAACAGCAAATGACTGAATAAACACACTGAATAAATGGTGGTTTCAGGCACCGTGTCTTTAGGCTGGAATTTGTTAGAACCAAAGAAAAAGCTTCCTATTGCCTTTGCATTTTCATTATCTGTCTGGAGAATAAACTTCAGCGTTCAGTATCACTAACTTCTTTCAGCAAAACACTGTTAGAACTTTCTGAACAACAAATGTTATCATCTGCCTTATTTTTCCGGTCTTTCCCCATTCATACACAATTTCATCCTTAGTTCCCTACAATCTCATTGTGCACAATTTTATCCTTAGTTCCCACCAGAGATTGCTGCACCATAAAAGGAAATCATCAAATGTGTAATTTCTTTCTATACCATTACTCAGCTATTTCCAGTTATCCTGGTAAAAGTACATTCTGAAAGAATGAGGATTAGGGCACGGCACATCTTCACAGTAATCTAAATTACACACATTATTTTATGGACTAAATTTCGGAAAACAAAAGGTAATTTTTTTTTAATTTCTTGGCGAGCAGGAAGGCATTATTGGTATATCAAAAGAGAAACTTAAGAGAATGGGCAGTTCAACTTGGTCAGTAAATAAAGCAAGTTCACCTTTTCAAGTAATTCAAGCAGGCCTATCTTTGATTTGAAAGCTACATCTATTCTTACTTATTCAGGACCAAATTCAATGTTTTTAAACAAAATGTTTAACATTTATGAAATTGGATAAAAACCCTTGTTTTCTGGTAGGAAGGCAGCTTTCCTTAGGAAACAAACACAATTTAAAAAAATAATCAGAAATAGGATGATTTATTTTTTTTTAATATTATAGTATCGTGTCATTCTAAGAAAACATTCTGCAAAAAGAGCACAGCAAACTTTCCTCTATGTCCCCAGTCCTAAAGGCTGATAAACAGATAATGAGATCTGGAAAAGACAAAAGAGGAGAGACCATTTTCTATACACTTTGCCTGAAAATTTACAATGCCTACAGAAATGAAGAAACAAAACCTGTCTTCATTAGCAGCTCCAGAAGGCAACCAGAATAGTAAAAATTAGCACTATTTTCGACCTCGAGGAAGGGTACTGCTTCAAGTAAACAAAAATGACACTATGCAGTCAGCATCTGTTTCACATAACTGCTTGGCTGCTATGTGTAAGAACACTGAACAACATGACTTCTGCACTAAGTTTTTTAAGTATCGGCTGTTAATACATTGCTGTATGAAGACATACGAAGCTTTCAGTTGCGTAAATCTGAAAGAAATTTTTAAAACAGAGTATCAAAAATTAAAACTATATAGAAATTCGCCTTAGGTATAACACGCAACAACGGGCAGTGATTGTTAAAAACAGATGCCTTTCTACCTTCCTCCAAGTTTCCAATATCAAACGTCTGGACAAGACCTCTATACTACAGTGAAGAGAACTA